GGAAAAAAAAAAAATAAAAAAAAAATCTGTATTTAAGATTTCTGTCCTCCCCCCCTGCACTTTCTTCTCAGTTGCTGCAGAGAATATGTTTCCTGAGCATGAAACAATATCATTTTTGTGGGGCGGCTTGGAAAGCGGGCGCTTGTAGGAAGCGAAGAAAGGTCCCTTTCTCTCGGCTGGTTTTTGGGGAAAGGGCTTTCTGTGTGAGTAATCTTTCAAAGTAGGAAGCAGAGCTCCCCCATTGCTCGGGAAGAATGGACCTCCAGTGGGCCAATATGTGATGGATGACTGAATGCAAACTTGGCAACGTCGCCCTCCGCTCGCCCAAGAATACAAAATGCCGCCGCCTATTCGGGGCTGGGGCTCTCCCCGTGCAAGTCCTGAAAAGTTGGCACCAGCCCACCTTGGTTTAATTGAAAGTGCAGACAATTAAGGATGGGAGCTTGGAGGAATTCCTCGCGACGAGATCAGCCCGGGGTGGGTTTGTCTTGGGTGATTGGCTCATGCATAAGCCAAACAAAAAGCATAAACGGGGAGTTATTTCGCCTTGAGTCTACAGTCTGTGCAAGCAAAATCTCACATTGGTTTAYGAGGGGTTTGTTATGAGGTGTAATCATCCTAATTAGTGTTATTCAAATCCTACATAATCATTGAAGGTATAGGTGGGGTTTTTTTCTTGATTTTTTTTATCAGCAACAGGAGAGGCAGCATATAGGAGAGAGGTGCATGTAAAAATCCAGAAAAATCCTACATTACAAATCTTACATTAAGGACAATTCCAGTTTGAAGAGCACATCTATCATTCATTCAATGCTAAAATGAGACACTGAATTATTCCAACCTTTCCCTTTCAGCAGGACATTCCCATCTATTCCTAATTTCAATGGCCAGAGCCTTCCTGCAGGTCCAGAGCCATCGCTGGTCAGGCAGGATCACGGTGACTCCTCCTCCGCCTGCCCATTCCACACCRTGCAGTTACATCATGCACTGGAGGATTTCAGGAGCTGGAAGGATGCCCAGCCTCTAACTTTTCCCACATGTGGAAGGCTTTTAACTGCAGCTCAGCCTGGCCAGAGGGTCAGACACACGAGTGGACAGCGAGCACCAAGGGAGAGGAAGTTTCACACTTGCAGAAACCCTGAGCTGGATGGAAACAGTGACAGCTCAGSATTGTCCCTCAGGATTGTTCATTTCTCTGTTTCCAGCAGTCCCTTTCCTCAAAGAACTGCCTTCTTGCTTCTTTTTTCTCTTCAATATACAAAAAAATTTTTTGGATAGCTAATAGGAATCACAAGTTCTTTGTGAACATGAGCATCACTTACAAACCTCTTCACTCCTAATACAGTCAGGCCCWAAAATGCTGGAGCAATAATTACAACATCAACTTTTAACAGACCCCATGACAAACCAACCRAAGCCATGGCCAGCAAATCCACTTCAAAATCAAGCAGTTTAAGGAACTAAATTGCCTCTTATAAACTCATAATTAATCTGTCCCTTATTTTTCAGCTCTTGGCCTCAAGTTATGACATTTCCTGTCCAGAACTCATTAGTTACTAATCCTGTAATTGTTTGCACCGGTTTTGAATATTTCTGAGCTTGGTAGATGATGAAATATGAACTTTTTTCATTTTGATTGCTGTCTTCCTTAGTTTCCCACTTCAGCAACAAGGATTTTTTCTGCAATATGACATCAGCAGCTTCCTTAAAACCACTAAAGGCAATTATTACATTTCACAGTAGTTTCAGACTTGTGCAGTTTATAACCACAGAGTTAGACCCAAGATCAATCGTTGAGCAGGGCATGCTAAGCTCACACCAGGAATTAAGTCTGAGAGAATGCATTTTGGTAAATCAGAGCCCAGTTTTAAAGCCCTATATCTCAAACTGCCACAGCTCCAAACAAATACCTTTTATTATTGGAAAGCTGAGATTTTGGACTATCCTGGGATGTAAATCATCCACTCCTAAGCCTGGAGTTTTATGAGCCACTGGACCTTAAAACTGTCAGTGGCCCTTCAGCTGAGCAGACTGCGATGGCACGAGGCCAAGGAAGAATTCATCAAATCAAGGCTTCAAATGAGAGAAATTGTTGAGCCAGTCTGGATTTCTGTGGCACAGAGGCAGGACAGGTAAATGAGCAGCTGATAACAGAGCAGACATTTGATCTTTCTTTCCAATATAATATTCCACGTGGGAATGTGGAATATTCACTGAGGGACACAGGGCAGGATGGACACTGCTTCTCCCTTGCACCCATTCACACCAGACACCCAGTGGCCATCCCAGGATGGATAAATGCCACCAACATCCCTCAAACCTCTGCCCACAGCCTGCAGAGCTGGGTGAACTGAGACACTGTGGTGTTGAACCAGGAAAACAGCACAGAACTGCCCAAGCTGGTCTGCTTTTCCAARTGGTTTTGCTGGGAGGGATGAAAGRGTCAAAGCCCTGACTCCAAAGCAACATCAYTGTCTCACTTTTGCTTTTTATTTCTGCCTCACTCTTGAAAAGGATGAGAAAGTCCCCAAAAACACACACCCTGCCATTTAATCTCATTTTCTTATCAAGAAGTGAGACAATGCTCCAGAACCAACTTTGACAGTCTCTTTATAGCAAGTCAGAACATCTCTACCCATGAATAGTCTTTGGCTTTTTTTAGATACTTTATAAAAAGCACTAATGTGAAAAATAAGCTGAAYGTCAAACACCTTTAGAATTGATGTTATAGCAACACATTTAGTTCAGTTTGAGTGAATACTGAGCAGAAATTATTCTGTTTTAAAGAGCTGGCATTAAAATAAAGGAGAGTTTTCAAAAAGCCTCCAGCTAACAGTAAGTTAGAATTTGCAGAGCACATTTAGAGATGTYCTTTGCAAGTTCTGTCATCATTCARCATCATTATTTCAACAGATTTGCATCTGGTTGGTTTTCTTTTCCATGTGCTCATGGCCACCATGTACCTGGAAGGGATTTCTTCAGCAGAATTTCAGCTTTCTCTCCAGATGAGACCTGACATTCTCATTTGGGGGCTTTGCAGCCRATCCTCTGGCTCTTCCACAGCTCTGGAAACACTGATAAAGTAACTGCAGGGAGAGGATTAAGGGCTGGGACTTGCAAACAAATTTCTCCAGGCTGGAAGGAGCCAGAGGATAAAATTAATGAGCACAAAAGATGGGAAGYGAATGCCAGTTTGGTGTTTGGGAGAGTGAGTGTGACAGGGTCGGTGGCAGAACCTTTCATGTCCTTCCCTGAGCACAGGTGTAGCTCCTGCTCTGGGAACTCCCTGACAGCTCTTCCAGCTGCTCTCCAAATTCCCTGCCACTGAAGCTGAGCTGCAGACAGAGCAATTTTCTTCTCTTGGCTAAACGCTTTCACTTGGTCAAACTTCTTCTGAATCAATTTGTCCCTGCATTCCCTATAAGTGTAAGAAATGACCCCAAAGAGATGACGTTTCTGCAGGTTTTTCTAGGATTCAAAGGACTGTCCCCAATCCCCATTGTCCACCTCATTTTYGGACCTCTGCACCCTGGTCTGGTGGAAGGTGTCCCTGCCCATGGTTGGRGCTGGATCACCTCCAAGGTCCCTTCCAACCCMAACCTTYCCATGATTTYACAGCTTGAWAAGGCAAATGCACAAACCCAGCACAATAAAACAACCCCCACACACCCCACAACCAGGAGGTGTGTAAAATGAATTTCCAACATTTAATAAGATTTATAAAAACTAAAGCTGGAGAGAAAACCAAAGCAAACAGCRGGACAGCAAGGCTTTTACCCAGATCATAGAATCACATCCACCTCATTGATTTCTACTTTTTCATGAAGAAAATAATTACAAATATTTTCTTTATGTTTTTTTTTTCTTTTTTAATTTTATAACATCATTGTGCAGCACAACCCAACACCACCATTTCAATCTGAACACATCATTCTTTTCCATAGTATGAGACAGACTTTTCAGAAGTTTCRATGCACTGCCAAAAACTCTCTCTCCTGGTAGCCAGACAGAAAATCAGGCAGGGAAAACTCTGCAAAGGTGATGTAACACCAAGTCTGGAGTGAGTGGGTTTAACTCCTAAATGAATCTAAGCATGTTCACCTTCTCCCCAGCCAGCTTCTCCTTTTTAAGCCAATTTGAGCCTCGCTGGTAAGTGCAGACACAGTCATGCAGAAAATCTCGGAGCACCAGGGAGCGAGGAGCTGAGACACGGAGCAAGTGCCTCTGTTTTTCCATGAGGATGGAGAATTTCACCCTCCCGCTCCCAGAACCCACCCAGTCAAGCGCTGGTAATAAAATACCAGTTGGATCTTCCTTTGTGCCTCGCTCCCCGCTGCAGASTAATGTTACCGGAGTTTTCAGAGAAACTGGAGCCCGCTGGGGGCGGGGAGGAAGGTGACAAAGGCTTCGGGGAAAAAAAAAAAAAAAAAAAAAAAAAAAAAAAAAAAAAAAAAAAAAAAAAAAAAAAAAAAAAAAAAAAAAAAAAAAAAAAAAAAAAACCAGTGTGGGGACAGCAAATTAACGGCGGGGAGGGCCCGGCTCTGCTCAGGTCACAGGCGAGAGCACAAGGAGAGAAGTAACTTGGGAGGGTTAAAACTGCGAGTGGGTTTATTCTAGAGAGATGAGGATGGGGGAACATTTATAGGACTCCAGGAGCCAGGAGGAAATCCCAAATCTATTTTCCTGCYCTTCCTGACAGTTTGATTTCTGTCTGTACTCGTGTGGATGTCCAGCACCCGACCAGCACCGCTCCATTCATTCATCGGGACACACGGATGCCATTGAGACATTTCTCACATTATTGCACCGGGTAACACAGACCAACTTCGAGGCAGGCACGCTCCAATCCACAAATATTCCCCAGCAGCATCCCTGACCGTTCACCTGATTGTCACAGCGATGATGCCAGAACACGGGGCACTGCAAACTCGTGTGCGAGAAGAGCTGATTTTTTTAATTTTTAATTTTTTTTTCTTTTTTTTAATTCAGGGAGGACTTACCTTCGAGCCTCTGCCAGAGCTTAGATCCCGCTGGGAGCAGCCTCCATGAAATAAATAAAGATGCTCAAAGTCAGCTCGGGGCTCCTGACTTTGCTGCCGTCCTGTCAAAACTCGGCGCGGAGTTGGCGGTGTCTGGCGGTGAGCGGGAGGCACAGAGAGCTTTGACAGCGACGAGAACTGGTCCGAGCAGCCAGATTCTGCCGGGTTTATATAGCTGAGCTGCAAATCCCGATCCTTGGCTCGTTCCGCTGTAATAGGACGCCTGAAGGCAATTTTTTTTTTCAGTTTTGCTTTAAAGGAACAGCCTCTCTCTCTCTCTCTCTCTCTCTCTGGCGTGGCTTCTGAAAAGCGCACACGCACTCACACACGCTGTCATCCACACACACACACACACACACACACAAAAGAATTTGCATGCGATTTATGGCTAAAGAAGGAAACCCCCTGAACCATTCAAAAAAAAAGTCAGCTCGGGGCGAATGACTCAGAAAGCAGAATATTTTCCCCACGGCATCAGCGGAGTGCTTTATCGGGAGTTTTAATTCCCCTCGCCCCCGTTATTTTAACGTTGGGAAATAGTAGCGAGCTGACATGAAATCACCAGCGAGGTTTAAATTTAAATTCTAGGAATTCCCGCAGAAATTAATGTGTTTCATGTCGGTGTGAACAGCCCCCACTCCGCTGGAATCAACTGCAAAATTCAGATTTACACGAGCAGAGGATCTGGCATATTCCCATTTTTTCAAGCCTGGGGTGTCTTTTGCATCCTTTCGCACTCCTGCTCTGAAAAGCCGCAGGGAGAAGAGTGGGGAATTCAAGAGAAAAGTGAGCAGAATCGGAGCCTGAGTCTTTGAAAAAAAAAAAAAAAATTGGAGAGATAAAAGCCCTAAAAGGACAACACAGGAGGGATTCCCTTTCTTCTGAGATCAGATAAGAAGAGATTACGTGGCTGGCTGTGTGTAAAGATAACCCGAGCACTTTGAGGAGGCTCAGGGCTCCTGTGCTTCCCACTCCGGAGCGATCAGTGACACACAGAGCGCTCAGCTGGGACCTCTCCAGGGCTCTTTGTTGTCTCTGAGTACCCTTGAACCTGAGCCTTGTGCCGAAAAAAAAGATCACAGTTAAAGGGTTCTCATTAGGGCCGATTTCAGTCCTAGCTGACGCTAAAAACCCGGCTCTCCCCTGCCCACACCCCAGCCCGCTGCTTTCTGGGGTTTCCTTTGGGGTTTTGTGTTGGCGGGGTGGTGGCAGAGGGGCAAAAAGGAAGATTAATCGTAAACTTTCAGGTCTATCTGCCAGGATAAAGGACGAAATCACTCCGGTGTTGGATAGTTTAGAAAGCCAGATTTACCCCAACTTTTCTGAGAGCCATGGGAACACAAAACCTCTGCTGCTGGGATCCCACTCAGGAGCAAAGATGCTCATAAGGATAAACCCGGATTGCCTGGGGATTTCGGAYCATGCTCCTCTCTGAACACATCTCCTCCCAGCTGGCCTTTCCCAGGCTCCGCGGGCACATCCCTTTACGAGGGAATGGCATGGATCTGTGTCAGACAGGGCAGRCTGGAGAGCAGGGAAAGGTTCTTGTGTCCCCAGAGGGTGCTGGCACTGCCCAGGCTCCCCAGGGAATGGTCCCGGCCCCGAGGCTGCCAGAGCTCCAGGAGCGTTTGGACAGCGCTGCCAGGGATGGACAGGGTGGGGCTGTTGGGGGGTCTGGGCAGGGACAGGGGCTGGGCTGGGTGATCCTGGGGGTCCCTCCWGATCAGGAYATTCTGTGACTCCGTGGTTCAGGATTTTTTAGTTTTTTTTTCTCCTTCGCAAGCACAGCACAGCCAGGACAATCCCATCAATCCCGCACATTCAGAAAGGGGGAATCCCTGACCCTGAAATTCTGACTCACTCTTTAGAAGGCCATGAAATTGAGAGCTCTTTTTCTCACTGARCTACTTAAATTTTCTTCTAAAATTTAAAATCTTAAACTGTGGCTTTTCTGTATAACACTGACCCCATGTGTGTATCTTTCATATCTGATTATGTCACTGAGCTCACCCCCACCTCCCTTCCCCAGCACACGGCACAAATTTTGGTCTTTTCCAAACAGAAACACCAATTTGCAATTTCTGCATTAATTTTTTGACATGCTGTGTTTCCTTACAGCCATGCCCTTAGAGAAGAAATGAGCYTGTGCTGGGAAAAGGGTCAGAAATGTTATTTAATTCCTGGTAAAGGCATTGGACCCTCCTTGAGGGTTGATTTCTTAGAAGTCCATCTTATTCTGGGCATCCCCACCAGCCCCAAGGCAGAGGGGTTGTTGAATGCAGCCATGAGCAGTCTCCAATTTTTGTGTGGAATTCTCAGAATCTCCTGCAGCTGCTCCTGGAGCTGCCCTSTGCCAGCTCTGCCCCAATTACAGGGTGGGAAATAACCCCGAGGGTTTGATCCCCACGTGGGCCAGTCAAGGATTGGACTCAACCCTTGTGTGTTCCCTCCAGCCCAGAATATTCCACAATTGAAGGATGAATTATAACCCAACCTTCATGAGAGATGTAACACAATTTGCCCAATAAAATCAGAATGGATCTCAAGAAAAGACAATTTCAACAACAAACCATTCCCTGTCTCTAATTTCATTTGTTCTTCCACAAACATTTACAAATCTCTTTATTTCTTCATCCAAACACGCGAGTCTATACAAGATGAAGTCAAACTGTGGGAAGCAACTTGTGGGATTTATTTTGGGAGGATTTGCTARTGCCATTTTTTCCACCAGCAGCTGCTGAATCTAAAGTTAAGCTAATTTTTTCTCTAATAATTCACCACCCACTTACCTGACTATTAAAAAAAAAAAAAAAAAAAAAAAAAACACCAAAAGAAAACCAAACCTGCTACAGGAGATAAGTTCCAGGTAAGAGTTCAGGCTTGTTCTTGTTTTATCTTTTTTGGGCTCACCCACTCTTAATCACAGTCTGTGGCAAACATTGAACCACCGACTGAGTCAGAAACAAATGGGAACATGAAAGAACAGGGAAAATGTATTTTAATCAGAAAGTTAGCTCCAGGTTGTGATCCCTAACGAGCAGGACCGGGATGGGATTCTGTGCCCTGCGGTGCCCTCTTTCATTAGATAAATGGGGATAGAAATTGATTTTTGTTCAAATGACAGGGAGAAATTAAATGAACACCAAGCTGAATATGCTGGAGTTTGTTGCTGCGGTTTTATGTGCTTGCAGGTCAGTAATAGAGAGGGAATTCAAATATCAGTGGAAAGCCATAAATGATAAATCTGGGAGCAGATTGATACTTATGAAAGCATAAAAAAGACCAGTGAGTTGTTGGGGGAAATATTGATGAAATGCAAAAAAATCTCCTCATTATTACCTTGGGACAAAATTGTTACAACATGGGTAATAAGATTTTATTCCAATTTCATACCTGTGCTGGTTCACCCAGCCCTAGGAACAATCTGCTTTGCAGCAGCACTTTTGGGAGTGAAAGCTGCCCTGAATGTGAATTAACACCAGCCTCAGAGGGTCCTGGGGATTTTCTGCCCTGCACAGAGAGCAGCCAGTGTCGGGAACATCCAGCTGGGATTGCAGGGAGCCACTGGAATAAACCACCTGAAACATAAATGGCAATATCTCAACAGTTTAGGAGCATTCAGTGCTTGTGGCTGGAAGGAAATGCATTTATCAGAGAAAATTAATGTTGGAATAAAACCCTGGAGTCACAGAGTATCCTGAGTGGGAAAGGACCCACCAAGATTATCCAAGCCCAGGTTCCAGCCCAGCCCAGACCCCCCAACAGCCCCACCCTGTCCATCCCTGGCAGCGCTGTCCAAACGCTCCTGGAGCTCTGGCAGCCTCGGGAATGTGAGCCCAGAGCAGGACAGAGCCCAGCCAGGAGCCTGAAAACAGCCCCAAGGAAACCATCCTGAAAATAACTCTTTSAATGGTAAGAGGAAGGTGAAAAATCAGGATTTAAAGAGATCCTCTAGGGCTGATCCTTAAGGAGAGTCTGCAATCCTTTCCATGCTCCATTCTTAAGACTGATGATTTTAAGTAAAGTAATTTCTGGAGACATTTTGATCCTTTTTCACTGAGTATCCTTTCCTCAGTATCACTGAGACATTTTCTGTCTCTCCAGACCATATTCACAAGATTTCACTGGCACAGAATCAAGATCAAAATGCTTTTGTCTTTCCACCTGCATTGCTCTCATTCCTTCACAACTGCAGCCAAATCCAGCTCAGTTAATTGAGGTTCAAATTGAGCAATATTCCAACAATCCTGCTAAAACTTCAGCTCTTGGGCTGCCCCTTACCTGCCCCTTTTCCGCTGATTTCCCAGGAATCTGCAGAAAGCCCTTTGCTGCTCCTTGTTTGACAATTATTTGCAAACAAACTGATTTTTATGAGAGCATTTCCTTACAACCACTCAACACCATTAAACAAGGTGCTTCAGGTCACTTCCCCAGAAAACATCTCAATTATCACTTTAAATACCTATTTACAATAATTCATGTTATTTCTAAATGAAAATCATCCTGATGTGATGACTCAAACTGAATAAGGGCTTCCAAGCACTGCAGACTTTTGACCACTTTTCCTGTGAAAACACTCTTTCATTTAATTATTTAATTAAAATATTTAAGTATTTATCTTTACTGATTATATTTATTATTTAATTATGTACTAATTATTATAAATACTATATTATAATGTGTAGAATATAAAATATAACATTATAATACATACTATATATAATATATAGTATATAATGTATATATAATATATAATATAACATTTATAAATATTATAATTTCATAATATTAATTAATAATTTCATTAAGATTTATGTAATTATTTACTGATAATCCTATCCCAAATTTTATCAGCACTGGTCAGACCATATTCAGCCATGCTGAGGACGATGTTACGTTGAGGATGGATCGATCCTGACCATTGTATCCCATATTAAAATGTGTCCACTGATTTGGGAGCAGAGAAAGCAAAAGCACATTTTTACGCTGGGGAACTCTGATTTAAACAGATGAATGCAGAGAGTGAAGGTGCAAATTTACAGCTGCTGCAGGAGTAAAAACTAAAGCCAAGGCCMCATAATGTCCCTTGATATATTAAATATCACACCAAACACTGTATTWAAAAAATAAATAMATAAAAATACTRGATAATTTTGGAATTTTWAAGAGATSATCTCCAAAARGGAAWATTCTTCTATTATTTATYTATGATTTTYACCAGGGCATTTCCCAAGGGCTGCATTCATTCCACTGGATCCGTGCAGTGCCCCTGTTGAGACCGATGTCCCTTCAGCCCCTCTTTGA